TTTTAATTTTTTATTATTTAAATAACATTTGTAGAATTTTTATTTAGATTTTTGTTATGAATTTTATAAAAATATAACATTATGAATAATCTAAATATTATTAAATCTATTATTATTATTTTTATTTTAATGAATATTTTAAAATTATTACATAATTTAGTTATAATGTTTAAATATTTTTAAAATTTTTTAATTCAAACTTTTTAGACAAATTTAGATGAGAAAGTGTGGGAGAGGAGAAATAAGAATCAGAGATAATTTAGGAGAGAATAATGGGTGTATTGGGAAAGTCAAGGAAAGAACAGAAGAGAATTAGAATGGGACTCTAGCAAAGAAAATAGTGGTGCCACTTAGCTAGACATATTAAAAAGCAACTCTGTTTTTATATCTATTAATTATTTATAAAAATGACATGGAATAAAATAAAATAAAAATTATTAAAAAGGAAAAAAAATAAACTTCCTTATTTTAGTGTATATATATATATATACATATATACACATTGACCATTCATATGAAAAAAAAACTCTCCTTTCAACAAGACAAGTGCTTGCTTGAACTTTGGATGTTGGAGTTTTGTGACATGTTATTTCTTTACGGTAACAATATCAAACATGTCATTTGAAGGCGGTAATTTGCTTGAACCTTACCAATCTGCTCCTTGTTTACATTGAGATGGGCATTGTAATATATATATATAAATTTGGTAACAGTTTTTATTGGTTGTAGGCCCAATCATTTTGCTCTAGGCCCACTATAAAGTGTACATGGCCCACAATCACTGAACTTCTTTCATTTACATTGATAGCTGATTTGAAAAAGAAAATAATAAAAGATGATTGACTCCACAGTTTGTAAAACAACCATCAAATTTGAGTCAAGATAATCATGCAGAACAATGCCACTGTTCCGTACACTTAAGATGTGGTGAGTCCCATATGAGCCCCATGTATAGGACCGTCAATGGGCACCCTATCATCAATGAATATGTCAGTGTTGCATACACTTAATATGTAAGTCCCATGTAGGCCCCATGTGTAGAGGTAAATGAGTCAATTCTGCCCGCAAAACCAAACCGACTATATTGGTTATAATTATGATTTTATCTCCAATTTTTCCAATAACTTAAATAATCTCATCTTCTAAATTTTTTCCTAAACTACCTCTTTCCTCCCCTACTTTCTCTTGAATTATCTCTAATTTTTATACCTTTTATATTAGGATAAATTACAAAAACACCCCTTGTATTATAGGGTCTGTGACAAAGACCCCCCTGTACTTTAATTTGCAACAAAGAACCCCCTAAACTGACGGAAGCCATTAAATTACCAAATACCCTACTAGACTTTCTCTATTTTTTTTTTCTTGTCATTCTTCTGTCTTAAGCCTAACTAATCTTGAACCAACGCATCAACCAAAAAAACTAGCCATTTTAAAAATGCATCTTCTGGAGTTACTATTCTCTGTTGAGGATTTGTTCCAAAAGAACTGAAGTAGCAAGGGACGGCTTTATGCCATGAATGAAATGAGATTTTTGAACCACATTAGAAGATTACAGTCTGACAAAAGTAGCAAATGGATTGCAGAGAATAGATAGTCGAAGCACATGAAAAAGACTACGGTACCTAACGTGCATGTGTGCGTTGGATAAGTATTCTATAGAGAATTATTGACTTGGCTCTATGAGCTACAGAGCTAGTCCAAAATCTACAATGCCGTGGAATTCCTCCACTATTTACCAATTGAATGGCTAATTAATAACCGAAGCATCAAGACAAGGTATAACCATTCCATGGAAGATTGACCCAATAATCAAGGACAATTGAGAAATGGCATGGGACATTAACATCTTGGTATTAATACAAGTCATCAATCCAGAGAAGGTAAACAAATTGCAGAGCAGACCTAATAGTTAATCATTGACGTCAAGAAATTAAGGGAGATGTGAAGGGGTTAAGCTGCACCATATGCAAAGATTTATGGAGCTCTTTTCTCTTACATTACAAGAAGAGAAAATTCAAGAACCACTTCTATTTGCAAACGCCAAAACAGAGCAAACACCATGTACCGTCATAGGACTTTGATTGGTTCATGATGCCAAAACAGAGGACTACTTTGTACGCCAATTATTCAATTTATATCTGCCTTTTCTTGGGGATGCCAAGGAAGCAGCGAGGACGACATATTACTCGAAGGAATAGTGGTGAAGATGATTTCATAAATTAATGAAAAGGTAAATTTAATTATAAAAGGGTAATTTGGACATTTAAAAAATTTTAAACTCAAATGAAAATATTTTTCGAAATTAACCGACAGATTGTTAATGGAGGGGAGTCTTTGTCTAACGGCCAAAGTTCAGAGGGTCTTTGTTACAAAAAAAAAGTACAGGGGGGTCTTTGTCACAGACCCCATAGTACAAGGGGGGTCTTTGTAATTTACCCTTATATAAATTATCTCTAATTCTTATCTTCTAAATTATCTTTAATTCCTATTTATCTCCTAAATTATATCTCTAATTCCTATTTATCCTCTCCCCCACTTTTTATCGACTCAGGGACTCTATCCATGCCTACCCACAAAACACTACCTCCATGCATTGGGAACATCTCCCCGTGCATACTAACATGTAAGAGGACCCCTTTTTATCTATATTTATCTAAAGAATGTTTGAATTAAAAAATTCAATAATTATTTAAAATATTCTAACGAAATTATACAATAACTTTAAAATGTTTATTAAAAACACAAAAAATAATTCTAATAGATTTAATAATATTCATGTTATTAAAAAATAAAAAAAATTCATCACACAATTATGTACTGAAAATATAAATTATAACTTTCTGAATTATTCAATTTTAATGTTATTCAAATAATAAAAATTTAACATTAAAAAATAAAGTATTATTTAAATATTTCAATAACTAAATATTAGAAATAGTCAAATAATTATATAGCAGAATATTTAATATTATGCAATAGCTTTAAAATAAATAAAATTCAACTAACAAAAAATTTTAAATATTAAAATAACTAAATGTTTAACATAACTAGATTTTAAATAGTTAAAATAATGAAATTATATAATAAATTTAAAGAATTTCTTAAAAGTAGAAAAACATAATATTGAAATTAATAACAATTTAATATTTTAATAATCAATAATGAAATTATGGAATTTTACTGATTATTAATAAATAATTAATATTTTAAAATTTTAAATAATTATATCATTAATATAAATAAATTATATTGTAAATAACTGATTTCACTTATATCAATTAATAATTTGTGAGAATAACTTTCAAAAAACTAATATTTTTTAAAAATAATTTTAACTGTTAATCTATATTTGTTATATAATTTTATATACAAAAATTAATATTTATTGTACTTTAGTAATTATTTACTGTTTTCTGTAATGAATATATTTTCAATAATTATGTATAAATTTATTTTTTATTTTGTTATTTAAGACAAATTTTTCAATAATTATTAAAGATATAATCAATTATTACTGAACTTTTTAAATTTAGTTTACTATTATAGATTAAACAATTATTATTTAATTTATTATTTAATATATATTAGATATATTCTTAGTATTTATTGTATTTTTGTAATTATTGTAATTATTATATTTTTATTAATTAATTATTTTATTTTTATTATCAATATATTTTCAATAATTATGTATTTTTGTTATAAATTTTCAACAATTGTTAGAGATTAGTCTATTTTTATTTATTAGAGATTAAACTATTAATTTAGATGAAATTAAGAGTGTTCACGGGTTGGTTTAGTTCGATTGAAGGTTGTTTGGCCAACCAAATTGACCTGATAAGGTTGGACCCAAAACTAATTGACCATTTTAAAATTTGGCCCACTGGGTTATATTAATTTGGATTGATTTTTTGTTTGGTCAATCGGTTTAAAAGATTTACACTTAAAAAATTAAATTTAAATTTATAAAATTACTATGACATTATTAAAAAAATTTTAAATTAAATTTATGATATAAAATATTTTATACTAAGAAATATGGGAGTTTTTCCACTTTCTTGTATTAAAAAACTATATATATATATATACACCCAAAATACTAGAAAATTGACCAACTCAGCTCTAGTTGATCGAATTGGTTGGTTTCAATAGTTTGATAAACAACCCTAACTGAAATTAATTATTGTTATTTTTGTATTATAAAAAATTTATTAAAAGTAGTATATAAAATATAAATAATTATTAATTATTTAAAATATATATATATATATATATATATATATATAAAACAATTATATACTCTTATGTGTTTCTATTTTTAGCTTTTGCATGGATCCCTATTAGTAGTTGATTAATTGCAGATAAATTACTTTTACCATGGGTATCTATTTCCAGGTTGATAAGTGTGCATAAGTTGGTTTCCCATTTGGGAAAAAAATTGTTAAAACTTTCTGAGCCCTTCTAATGATTACATTTTATGAGTAAAAATGGTTAAAAATATGTACCTATACAACACTTTTGATAAAAAATAAACTCGAATAAATGTACTTACCCATCAAGTAAATATTTCCCCAAGTCTTTGAGTGTTTATTTGAAAATTAAATACTTAAAAAACAAGTGCTTATTCTAATTCTAATAAACATCTATAAGCCTTTAGTATAAATATTTTCACAATGATGTAATGAGCCACAATAGGCTAAAAGGAAATAATTACTTATTGAATAAGCATTTAAAAATATGTCCAAAATTTGGGTTCTCGAATAAATACTTATTATTAACACTTATATCAAGGAAAAATAAGTGCTTATTTATATAGTCCCGGCCCAAAATAAATGCTTACTGTAATAAGAACTTATTTTCAAACACTCCTAAGCCTAAGTGGCATCAAGAAAAAAAAAAAAGGAAGAAGGGTGCCTTAAATGAGTTACGAACTGGCACGGGGTTGAATTAATTTCTAAACTTTATGATCATAAATAAGTAGGTCCCCATGGACTGGATTTGTAATCAGGCAATAAATGAAATCATGCTTTATCCGGGTACGCTGGGCAATCGGGTTTAAAGAAGAACCCGCCTGCCATAAGCGTAGAGAATTGGAAAACCAAAAAGCAAACTTGACACTTCTAGTAGCAGTTTGAACAAAAAACCCGCAAAAGGAAAAGCAAGAATCTGCATCGCTGTAAAGTACTTAACAACACAACAAACAAAACATAGATTTTACTATTTTCATTTCTTGAGAAGATTGATCCCCAACGAACCCGTGCAAATAATCAGCCCCAGCACCGCCAAGAAATTGAACCTCCTGTTTCATACAGAGCCAAAAAAAAAAAAAACACTAAAGTGAAATCAAGTGCCAAACAGAACTTCACAAAAGATTTGGCTGTGTTTGGCATGCTTTAAAGAACTAATTCTGCTGCATCTTGAAATTGTAAGAATTATTTTTTAAGTTCTGATGTATGAAAAATCAGCTACAGAACATAATCATTTCTTGTTTCAAAACTCATTCTTCAAAGTTCAAATAGTGATTATTGTTTGGATCGGAATTTTAAGCTTCAATTGAAGCTAGCAACATGCTTTTAAAGGATTAAGAATTGTTATTTTTTAGTTCTAGGTTCATTCTAAGAATTGATTCTCTGGAGTTTTGTAGCTTTAGAAAAGAATCAATTTTCAGCTCAAATATAGCGTTCAGAAGCAATTAAAGAAAAAAAAGATATGTACCCGATTGTCAAACGTTTCTCAGGAATTCCAGTGGCATAGCCAGTGAAATAGAAATAACGAGCCACTGTGTAAACAACGCCAAGCCCCGCAGCAATCAGAGGATGCTGGAGTCCTCCCAGAAGCAGCAAAGCGAAGAACGACGGCATCATCTCCAGAGAGTTTTGGTGCCCTCTCTGCGCTCAAAAACAACTCATTATTCACTCAGAAAACACGAATCAGAACCAACATCCACCACCCAAATACAAATCGAAGCTGGGCATTTAATTTGTTTTCCTCTCACAGTACCTGAACACAGTTGAAGAGCTTGGCGTCCTTGTTCTCAGACTCTAAAGCGTAAAGAGCTGGATATTGCACGTTATACCTGTAATTTGAACCAAAACAGAGCAAAACCTTTGGATTAATTATATTAATTCCTTCATTCACTGATATCTGAAAACAAAAAAAAGGGTTCTGCGTCTGCGTTTTCATACTTCTTGCGAGCCCTGACGACTTGCAGAGACATCCAGATGTTGAGAAAAGCATAGAGAACCAGTACCAGAACCACGTAGCCATACTCTCTCGGCAGTAACTCCACCACCGCCACCGCCACCGCCATTTCTTCCTTCCGACTTCCGACCTCGGCTTTCCGCGCTCTCCGCTTATGCGATTCTACTCCGTTCGGTTGTTATTGGTTAATTAATTCTGTTAGCCTTGTTTCTCGCTCGTTACTTGAAGTTGAAGATTGCTTGTTTAAATCCATTGACCAGATCTACGGCTTGGATTTCTCCACGACACAGAGCAATAAATGGCCGTTGGATAATCAATAATTTGTCTATGGGATCATCATACTTTTTTCTGTTCGGCCTATGGGATCATCTTGCTGTGACGGTTACTATGGGCCAGTAGACGGGTTGCAACTAGAAAGTTCTAGTCTTCTAGATTGATCCTCTCATGCAAAACCACACGTGGCTCCCGTATCATGCCTGGGGTCGCGATTTGGGTCGGACCGGAGGGTGGACCGTAAAACCGGAAATGGTATTTTCTCTGTATCCTGGTTTAATGACGGTTTCAACGGATTGAAGTCTGATTGATGGGTGAAAACTGTGGCCGAATGAAGATTCTTGTTTTTTATCCGGTCCGTATAGCTGTTACATCCAAATTTGATTAATTTATGTTCGAATTCAAATAGGATTGTATTCATCGAATGTCTAACAGATTCGGATTATAATTACATAATAAATACATTAGGGGCTAATACTTATAACCATGTTCTATCCACTGGTTTCTCGGTCGATGGTTGGAACTTAAAAATAAAAATACAAAAAATGGCCGCCAAAAATTGTCGAATGATTGACAATTTGAGTCTCGGATCAGCGGGTTGTTAATCAATTTTATGGTTTTTGGTCAAAGATTGGGTTTAAGTAAAATGGAATCAGTTCTAATGGTTTGACTGTCTGGATCAATGACGATTTGAAAATACTATTCTATCTATATATCTATATCTGTATCAATACTATGGCCTCTCTTACTCTGGAATTGCCACATCAACATTCATTATCTCCCTTTTTCCTCTCTTTTATTAGAAGTGACCACCTATATTTTAGTAAGGTTGCGATTGTTTTGGGTGTAAATGAGAACTGGGTAAATTTTACACCCCCCTTCAAATTTCCCCTATGTTTGTTTTAGTTGTTGTTTTACAACGTAAATTAGCCTAAATTTTCACTTAGGATGAGTTTTTACATTGAATTGAGAATCAGTGGAAAAGTTACCACCTATAAAATTGATGTAAATCTCCATCTTCTTCGGTGTAAAACTCTGCAACGGTCAAATAACTTCTACTCCATCGTTATCCTTTCCGGGCAACCATTTCACCGGAGAATGGCATCATTTGAAGATGAAATTATCGAAAGCTCCCACCTATCTAACCCATTCTGTTCATTACCACCAACCCCGTACTCACAAGATCCAGAAATCCAAGGTCTTGATCGCTTCTAGGATCGTGTGTTCTTCTCCGATCACAGGGGGTGATAGCCTCACCTCCACTTCCCCATCTTCGCCTGTGGCTTCTGCTGCTGTGTCACTGGTGTGGTTCCATGAACCAACAACGGCTCTTTGATCTGATGTTCAAGATCTATGGATCTTGACTTCAGTCTCCAGTTCTGAAATGCAGAGTACAACAGGATAGCCAAGGGTGCAACTAGCAGAAAAGCGATGGAAAGAAATCGGCCATGATTTCCGGTGAAGGAGACTAGGGTGGGTGATGGAGTAACAAATAAATAAAGTTTCAGTTTCTAGACTAGAACAACTAATTAATTTGTTTGTAATTAAATACAGGGTCTAATTTTAATTAATTGTTGCCTGCAGCAGCCTACGACGTGGAGCCAAGCTGATCTAAATTAACCTGCGTGGTGTTGCAACACCAAGACTGAAAATTGGCCATCTGTATCGGATGAAGCAAGTATGTCCCCTATCACACCTAGCTCCGGGTATTCAGACCATTCTCCAATCCCAGCCATGATCTGGGATTCCATGGTGTGGCGCCTTCCCACCAATATAAGGTCAGAGCTAGTGTGAATGGATCGAATAATCTTCACCATCTGCTCTTCGTCTTCCACCACCTCTTCTCTGAAGAAAACATTTCTACAATGGGAGGTGTTTGATTTAAAATTGGTGATGACTACGGTATCAAGTTTGACGTCCCAATCGTTGGGATTAGAAGAATCAGAGAGGATCAACTGTGTGATGAGGAGGGCAGTTGTGGTTGGACCTTCCACCATTCGGGAAGCATGTAGGCTCCTCGGTCGTCTGCACCACCCAAGAAGATGACAGCCACACGAACTGAGAGTTGTTCCAGTGACAAGGCCGTGGTGGAGGCAGCAAAGAGACCACGATCAATAATAAGGCCGGCGGAGCAAGGTGCAGTTGTGAGAACATTGAGATTGAGGTTCCTCACGGAGCCTCCTTGTTTGTATTTGCAACTTGGGTGGAGCCAGAGGACGGTGGGACCTCAAGGAGAAAGAGGATGGTGGTGAAGAGACTAGGGCGGGGAATATCGAGAGAGAGAGAGAGAGAGAGTCGTTCCCGAGTTCGTATTTTCCGAAGAGAAAATTATCTGGCAATGACACGCTAGTCTCTGGCATTGCATTGCCGAGATAAGGAGAGTTTCAGAGCAGAAAAGCCTTTCACTTTACACTGTGACAACCAAATATCATCAGTGTAAAAATTTAAATTCACCCGGTTCTATTTTCCATTGATCACCGAACCGGCATGAACACTATCTGCTTATCCTCCAAGATGCTATGAATCGGTGGAGCTAAGCAAGATGGAAGGGTTTTCTACCGTAGAAAGAAGACGGAGATTACAGTTCACGATCGAAGTGAAGAATCTGATACTAGAAAAGCAAGAAATAGAAACATTTCAGTTTTGAAACTAAGAGAAGAAGGAAGAGCAACTATTTTCATAATTGAAGAAGCTACACATTGGCTGAAAGGGTTCATCGATGGAGTACTTTTTTTCAGTGAAGAAAATCGGTTGGATGAGTTCGTCGGAACTTCAAGGGAGAAAATATCATGCATGTGGTTTTAAAATTTAATCAGAAGGGTTGGTTTGTGGTCTTAACTGAGGTCTGTGGTAACAATGGAAAACATTTGGTTTGTCTTCTAGAAGGAAAATAGGGATTGGGATCGAGGTTGTTCACTGAGAAACTTCGGGATATTTTGTCATTGAAAGTTGATAATTTGATCGAAGGAGAAGACTCCAAGAACAATTAAGAAGATGTGATAGAAAATGAAGTGATTGTTGGCAACGTCAAGAAGGTCCAAAATCTGGTCTTGGATGGAAACAAAGAAGGATGGGAGAGGATATTGGTGTTGGAAGCAGGTAGAGTTGTTTTGGACTGGGGGATTATATTTTGAATGTTCTGAAAAAAGAAATTTCAAGTGGTTGTAGGTGTGTCGATCTTCCATTTTGATAAAAGAGAAGCATTATTGGCTTGGGTGTGGTTTTGGTGCAGAGCTGGGCAATCTCCTACAATAGCAAGGAACTTCACAATGGAGCCTTTGCTATTAGGTTATACGGACTTCCTTTCAACCTCTGGAAGAAGACAGTTCTGAAAAAGATAACGACGGCAATAGGAGGAGTCTTCATCTCTTGCAGCGTGATGAATCTCAGCTACAAAATGGTGGAAATCGTCTACCCCTTGAATCCTTTGCCATTACAAGATGAACCCAATGGTGAAAAAGATAACGACGGCAATAGGAGTCTTCATCTCTTGCAGTGTAATGAATCTCAGCTACAAAATGGTGGAAATCGTGGGATTCTGAAAAAGATAATGATAATAATAGGAGGAGCCTTCGAGCTACCCCGCGCCTGGAATGTTGATAACTTACAAAAGTACTAGAGCTTGGGAATAAAGCATCCGCAAACTTCAACAAAATTTTTTTAAGTATGGAAGACCATCCACTTCGGCGACCCGGTCAAGCCGCCTTGCAGGAAGTGCACACCGGCTAAAACTACATACAGAGGAGTGGACGTTAAGTCACTCTAAGCCTAAAAGCCCCTATGCTGAGCTGGTAATGACCTCGACACCACGGCAGAGCCTAGTCGCGTTGGCATATGGGTATTTCGAACATATTTGTTATTATGCCTTATTTGTTATTATCCCATACTATGCCTAATCACCTTGGATTACTCCCATACTATGCTTAGGCACCTTGAGCGAACTCACACTTAGAAAATTTTTGAAGTTGAGTGTTTAGAAAACAGGTATATGCAATGTATAAAAAAAGAGATTGATTGTAACTCATTACTTGTAAAGTTCTTGTACACCGGTGTTGTAAAAAAAAACTTTTAGACTGAGCTTAGAGGCTCGATAAATAACATTTATACAAAAAGGGTCCAAGAAAAGAGGTAAAAGGGTTCTTAGCTATCTTGGGGCTCCTCGCCTCCATCCTCAGCAGGGTTCCTTCTTTATTTGTTGCATTCAAGAACAATGTTGAGAATTCATTCAAAACTAAAATCAAAATATTTCAAACTGATGGCGGCTCCGAGTACAATCCTCTGCGTTCTTTATTTGTGGGCACCGGTATTTTACATCCTAAAGCATGACCTCACATTCCTCGGCAGAATGGCGCATCCGAACACAAACATCACTATATTGTTGAAATCGATTTGACATTGATGATGAATGCTAGAATACCCAAATGTCGGTGGTTTGATGCTTTTGATGCTGTGGTATTTGTATTTGAGTATTTCTCATTAACCACATTCCCTCACCAATTCTCCACATGATGTCTCCTTGGCAGAAACTTTATGGTACACCTCCTGCTGATTATAGCTTCTTACGGGTTTTTGATGAAAAATCTTTCCCCTATGCTTAGCGGGCTTCTTCTACCAATACTACCTATGATACTCGTCTACTTGGACCGTATTTGGCTACCGGGCACCTCCGGTTCATATCCATGCACTTCTATTAATAATGGGCTGCATTCTTCAACTTTGGACCCAACTAGCCCATCCGCACCTTCTCCTACAAATGTTGCTCAAACTTCTTCTATTATGGGCCTCACTACCATTCTTCTTTGCTCTTCCACTCCTATTGGGCCGATTTCATCTATCCTGGGCCCCATTGATACTCCTTTTATTATAACTAGCGGAGGGCCCTTACTTTGCACGGGCTGGAATGGAACCGTCGACCCATTGATCCAGTTATTCGCTAAAAACCGTTGAATTCGTCAATGATTCATTAGCTTGGGCCCCATTTTTGGCCGTTTTTTATTTTTTTTTAATTAGGAATAATCCAGGCAACCTGTTCCATTTTATCCTAATCTCGGTCTCTATCCAAAAATCGTTAAATCGATTGATGACCCATTGACCCAGGCGATCGAACCGTTGATTCGTTCAATGGTTTTTGGTTGTTTTTTTATTTTAAATTTTTGTTGTTAGAACGGGCCATCCGTTTGAACCGAACAATCAAACTGTTAACCCGAAAACCAATGGCCAGAACGGTTCCGTTTTCAGGTCATATGAGTCACACTCGAATGACATAACACGTATGGTACTGCTTAATGGACCTCACACACTCAATTTTTTGCTTGTAATTTTTGTTGTCATAACGAGTCTTCCGTTTTTTTTTTTTGGAAACCGTCCAAGCAACCAATTCGGTTTTACCCCAATACCGGTCCCTGGCCAAAAACCATTGAATCGATCAATGACCCATTGACTCAAGTGGTCGAACTGACAACTTGTTGACCCGTTTAACGATTTTGGCCATTTTTTTATTGTTGACAACTCGTTGACCCGGATGGTTGAACCATCAACTCAAAAATTGATGGCCAAAACGATTCCATTTTCAAGTCGTATGAATCAAACACTTGAATGACATAACATGTATGATACTACTGACTTTACACACTCAATCTTTTGCCTGTAATTTTTGTTGTCAGAATGGGTCGTCCGTTCGAACCGGACGATCAAACCGTTGATCCAAAAACCGATGGCCAGAATGGTTCTGAAATTTTTCTTGTAATTTTTTGTTGTCAAAACGGGTCGTCTATTCAAACTAAACGGTTAAATCGTCAACCCAAAAACCGGTGTTCAGAATGGTTCCATTTTTGGGTCGTATGAGTCACACGCTCGAATGACATAACATGTATGATACTACTTAATGGATCTCACAAACTCAATTTTTTGCCTATAATTTTTGTTGTTAGAATGGACTGTCCATTCGAACCGGATGGTCGAACCGTCGACCCAAAAACCGGTGGTCAGAACGGCTCCGTAATTTTTGTTGTCAAAATGGGCCATCTGTTCGAACCGTCGGTTGTTAGAACGTTATTAACAACATTTATCAATAATAGTAAGTAATTATACTATTTAATTAAATAATYATTAATGATAGTTTTAATAATATTATTTAGTTATTTGTAATATAACAATAATTATTAAATTTATGAATAAGATTTATTAACAATATTCATTAAATTAATAATTATCAAAATTAAATTAAATTAATAGTATTTATCAGTAATAGTTAGTAATTATAATATTTTATTAAATAATCAATAACAATACTTTTAGTAACATTTTTAATTATTTTTAATATAATAATTAGTAAATTTATTAATAGTATTTATAATTTTAATTTAAAGTAAAATTAAAGTAAATATCTATTTATTAACAATATTTATAATAACAGTAATTATTAATTATAATCACTAATTATATATTTATTAAATTATTGTAATAATCAGTAATTATTAAAATCAGGTTATTAAATTTATTAACAGTATTTTTTAATAACAATATTTATAATTTTAATTTAAAGTAAAATTAAAGTTAATATCTAATTATTAACAATATTTATAATAATAATAATTATTGATTATAATCACTAATTATATATTTATTAAATTACTATAATAATCAGTAATTATTAGATTTCTATAATAATTAAATTATTAATTACTGTAATAACTAAATTATTAAATTAGTGTAATAATTACTATACGAGTAGATTCTATTTCCTGATGTAGAGAGCATCCATTTTCTATTAATATATATATATATATGGTCAAGTACATATGATTTGGGTCCCACTTCTATTCCTCACTTTATTACAACTAATGCTTTGGGCCAGGTGCTTGTGATTTGGGCCTTCCTCTACTAGTAATATGCTTACTATACCATCCACGACCCATACATCAACTCATCCCATGGTAACCCGTGCCAAGAAAGGGGTATTTCGGCCCAATCTTCCGTATGCACTCACTGTCAGCCCACTTTGTGAAATAGAACCCACATGTTATACACATGCTTTTAAAGACCCTAAGTGGGTTCTTGCCATAACTGATGAATTCAAAGCCCTCTTCAATAATGATACTTAGACTTTGGTTCCACCACCCTCATATAAGAATATTGTTGGAAATCGATGGGTTTACACGATCAAGCGCAAATCGGGTCTAGAGTTGCAAAAGGGTACATTCAAGAAGCAGCCCATGGTAACCTGTGCCAAGAAAGGGGTATTTTGGCCCAATCCTCAGTATGCCCTCACTACCAGCCCACTTTATGAGACAGAACCCACATGTTATACACAGGCTTATAAAGACCCTAAATGGGTTCTTGCCATGGCCAATGAATTCAAAGCCCTCCTCAATAACAATACTTGGACTTTGATTCCACTACCCTCAAAGAAGAATATTGTTGGAAATCAGTGGGTTTACAGGATTAAGCGCAAACTTGATGGGTCTATTGAACGCTTCAAGGCCCGACTTGTTGCAAAAGGGTACACTCTAGAAGTAGGCCTAGATTATGATGAGACTTTTAATCCGATAGTTAAACCCACTACTATCAAGACTATTCTCTCTCTTGTTGTTTCCTACCATTGGCCCATTCGTCAACTTGATATTAATAATGCATTTTTTAATGACATTTTACATGAAAAAGTTTATATGAAACAGCAAGTGGGTTTTATTGACCCTCGTCATCCCTCTTCTATTTGCAAATTGAATCGATCATTGTATGGGTTAAAGAAAGCACCTCGCACTTGATTCACACGACTACAAGACTATCTACTATCCTTGGGTTTCCATGAGTCTCAGGTTGACACTTCTCTTTTCTTTAAAAGTGACAGGAGTGACATTCTTATCTTACTCGTCTATGTGGACGACATCTTAATCTTGGTGAGGCCCATTATTTACTTGGGTTAGAGGTGCATCGTACTACCACTGGGTTAGAGGTGCATCAGCACAAATACGTGCAAGATCTCTTGATGCGCACCCATCTACATGAAGCTAAACCCATGCCTACTCTTATGGCTGCTTCTACTAAATTGGTTGTTGATTCTGGTCATCCTCTAGAAGATTCATCCCTCTTTCGTAGTATCATGGGTGCACTGCAATATATCACCCTTACACGACCTGACATAGCCTTTTCTGTTAATAAGCTCTGTCAATTTCTCAAAGCTCCCACATCTGAACATTGGTCAGCTGCTAAATGTGTCTTAAGACACCTCAAAGGCACTATCACCCATGGCCTTTTCTTTCAACCGACAAAGTCCACTTCCATCATTGCTTACTCTGATGCAGATTAGGCGAATTACCCAATGTTTATCTCAAAGCTCCCACTTCTGAACATCAACCTTCTTTGATAAATATATTCTATTGTAACCTCCTTTTAAATTTTCAAATTGTTGTATATATCCCTTTATTATGTAAACAGAATTATTATAAATACAAAGAGAATCAGCCACAAGTTGAATTCATTTTTATCCAAAACCGTTTAGTAATACCATCAATTGCATCCAGGCTCTAAAATATAGACTCCATACATTATTGAATATATCAAGCCTCCTTCATACATTATTGGGGTAGACCTCCATGTTTATCTACAACCGTATAGAAGGTTTGGATCAAGTGCCATCTCCACTACTGACGCGAGCTCATTCCAATTGTCTCTGAACAATTCAGAGCCATTTGTTGTCTGAAGAGTCGAGAATTGCATAGAAAATGCAGGTTGAACTGTCGAGTTCAAATGACTCGATAATAACTTGCTCATTTCCTCAGTACTAACAACCTTCTCCTCGTCCACCAGAGCACCAAAACTCATGCAGTACTGATTGCTTTTGGTGGGCTCCAAGCTGCATGTTCGAGAACATGAATCAGTTGGACTTTGTTTTCTGGAGAGGAATGTCCTACAATCTGGTGTGTTCTTCCTGTATGACACGTTTCGCTTAAAAATTCGGCATAGAGTCCAGATTTCCTGCAACCCATTGAAGAAAAGACTTTCGGAAAGCATATCAAAGTATAGATTAATAGATTAATCAAAACCAAAAATCTAGAAATCCTATTATCTCTTTTTCATGTTCTTTTATTTTTCATGTAAATAAGATAATAACCATTTTAATCATAAAAACTCATTATTAAAAAGGGTAATTTTGTTTCATCTTAGTATTGGCAGCTTTCCCAAGATGAAAAAAGTGACTTATCCACGTAAAAGATGGAACCCAAATTTCCTAGTCACTTTTTCTACCCACACTCTATTTGCCGTAAATTGCAGCCACACATCTCACAATTCAAGAAGGCATCGTGGTTACAACTTACAGCGGGTAGAGAATAGTGGGCAGGAAATCTGGTTTCTGGGAGATGGGGCAAGGGAAAATTAATTTTCCCTGAACCCCACATAAATCTGAAAAAAGAACATAGGTTTCTTGATCATCAATAGGAATCAAAATTAATTTAGTTGAATGAAAGGATTAAGAATAATCTTACAGCTTCATGAATGGTGTTCCTGGAATCAAGATTATTGCTGTTTTTCCCATCTGCAGGAAGGCGAAACTCATGCATCATCCAATCAGTTTTGGTGCCTTTTCCTGCGCTTCCACGATAGTAGACAAGGGATTTCTTCAGACCGATGCATTCATTGGTATCCTCAACGGAATATATCGGCCTATCAATTCCAGTTGCTTTCCAAAATCCAGACCCAGTGACCCTATTGGGTCTTATGCTATTCTTGTACTTCCTCCCTCTTATGCAAAAGAAATACAACTCCTTGTCTCCTACAGTAGTGACTGGTTACCAGAAATAAATGAAGATGAAACAAAAGTTGGTGCAAGATCATGTACATATAAAACGAAACAAAAACAAAAGGTTAATAATAATCGATCAGTTCCATTTCATTTACTTCTTTATTCTTCTTTCCTTTCTTTTTTCATTTTCTTGATTTGTCTCATCTCCCGTCTCTTTTGAGCTTTGGAAACTTTAATTTGAGACGATTAATATGTATTCTGCTAGTTGCTTAATTATGTGACAACACCAAAATTTGTTGTTCTATGTCTCTTTCTTTTTTCCTTTTCTACCATCAATTTTATAACACGTACATAAGAATTATAAACAGCTAGCTATCAACTTGCTTTAAATTAGCAATAGATGTCCTCTAAAGCAAACCCAGATGACTGTTTCAGGAAGACTGAACACCCAAAAGAAGAAAATATGAAGTAAAGCTTACTTGGAAGATCCCAGGGATCATATTTGTAGATATCAATCTGTTTGACGAGTTCAACACTAATTGGTTTATTCTCCACCTTCCGTCGAAGGTAAAACCCAACAAGCTCTTCATCTGTCGGATGAAACCGAAACCCAGGAAGCAGAATTTCATCATCCTTACTGTTGTCTAATTGAGTCATCTCTCTCTCTCTCTCTCTCGCGCGCGCGCTGTCTCCTTTCTGTTTCTCGGATATGCCGAAGATGGATCTACGTACAGAACAGATAATTGCTTTGGTCGATCGAGTCTTTGCATGTGTTAGGTTTATTATGCTCTCCAAGTCTCCAATGGTAATGGGTTTACAGAAGACTTGTTTATTATAGAGAGGACATGATGCAGCAAGTAAATAGTCTCTTCTCTACTTTGTTTTTTTGAGATAGTGTGATAACTAGTCATCTTGTGATTATAAATTAATCAGAAGAGGCTTCTGAGAGTACGTAAAATTAAAGGACATGTGAATATGCGTTTGAATTTTCAGTGCAAATTAGTCACGAGGGCGCACTCTTTGACTAATGTAGGTGCAAAATTGACTAGCATGGGGTGGATATTTTCAGAGGAGAAAGTGTTTTTGCAAATTACCCAAAAATGCACATGGGCTCTCCTGTAAGTTGATGTCGGGAGAATCCAAGGACGTATAAAAGTCAGATATAACATGTAAGCCCATGGTGTGGATGCGAGGACTCTAGCCCATATTTGACAAAATATTTTCAGAAGACAGATCATGTGTAGCGACTTTTTGTCGGTTTTGGCATTAAACTTGTTGTAGAAAAGTCAAGGGGTATGCTTCAATTTTGATTTCGAAGATAATAACTAACTACAACAGCGAAATTGTAGCAGAGTTTGAAATAAAGAGGCAAGATTTTGAGAATGGTTCGAATAAATGGGGTCATCGAACCTTGTTCTATTTATAGATAAAAACTAAAAAGATTAAGTTCGAATATAATATAACTATTAAAGTTTGTGTACAGTATTCAAGTTAGGAGATTAGTCTGAGTTACAATAGGAATAGGATTTTATTAAGGGAGAGTTATAGAACTTATCAAGATAAGAGAGCAGAGAACAGTTAGAGATTAAGTAGAGTGAAGCTCATCGCATGTATGGATCATGCGATTATCTGGTGACATGTCACCATTATCCTTGATAAGCAGTTGCTTTTATTTTAGAAAATAAAAATTATTCACATTGATAAACACCCCTTAAGATTCTTGTGGACATCAAGGGTGTTCGACAACATTGTTGGTTTTGTTTTTGAAAACAAAAACAATTGCTACATCAGCAAAAGCTATATAACTGCTGATGTGGCGGTTATTTTTTATTTCAGGAAGCAACTAATTTTTCTTGTTGTATTAAGTTGATTACTAGTATTTATATTGTGAAGCTAAACTGTGTGCTTCTCAACAACTTAATTTGGCTGCATTTGGATATGCTTCAGGATTTTTGCTTTTAAAAGCACAAAGATCAAATTTGGGGCTATGTACTTTGGAGCTTAAATATGTTATTGGTTTGGATCAATTCTTACCATACACTCAAAACACTTTGGGGGAAGTCAGCAATATGATTGAAAACAAAACTATACACAATTGCAAACACCACTTTTGTGGGTCAATTTTGTTTTCATAGTCCAAAGTTCAAAACAAAGTAGTGGTGTTTGAGGAGGGTTTGGCAAAGAGGGATAAATGTCAAACTTTGATCCAATTGTTGTATGGGAACAACTTAAAAGCAGCCATTGCACCTAAAATGGCCCATGTCTAAATTTTATAGAATTAAACCCCAAAGCTTTTGATGTTGTCCAAGCTGAGTAAGAAATGAATTTTTATGTTGAGCAGGACTAAGTGGTCAACAACCAGTGAGCACAAGATGTTATTAGAGGCCCAATAGTGCTCCACCCTGGGGAACCACCTCAGGGCCTCTGGTGTCTTGTTTGCAGGTCGTCAGCCAGTTTGTCCAACTCAAACAAATTCATATACTACTCATCCACCTCTGCTCAAACAGAATCAGTTTTGGCTTTGCTCCAAAGTGATTTTCAAGAAATTAGGAGTGTGCTTCAATTACAATAAGTTCAAGAAGAAAATTATGTTCTCAATGAAGTATGGTAGGAATGCCAAAAAATTGGGTTACATATGGATGGTTTAAGGAGGAAAAGAGGATAGTTTGGTAGTGATGCTTCTACAAACAAGAGAACAAAGCAGCTAGATAGCAGGAATAAGTCTCTGGGTCTCCAACTGTGGATGTCTCCGGTACATGGACAAATTGCAAAGGGTGAATTCGAAGGGGGTACCCACCACAACATCCTAGTGAACAAAGAGGTAGCAACCACTTTTTTGGGTTAGGGTGCAGAAAAGGTTGGGCTCTCCAAGTTAGAGGCAATGGACTTTTCTAGAAAAAGTGACTTTCACTAAAGTGATTTTCACAAGTTGGAACAAGAAACCATTAAGTAGGCATAGTACTAAAGTTGGATGTTCTTCAAGGTTCTTATGAGCTTGGAGGGCTACCAAGTAGTAGAAGTTAATTAAGAAGATTTGTAGACCTTTGTATTGATAAGTGTTGACCCTATGTGTTTTGATGATAGAAAACTCATTGAGGGTACTAATGGTGTATTTAAGTGTGCTACAGATCTTTAGCAAGCTTCTCTATACCAAAAGAGTATTAAAGCTATAATGCTACAAAATATGAAGTGAAAGCTTTGCCAAGTTAGCTGTCCAAGCTTCAAAGAACATCTACACCATCATCGCTTCTCCAAGCTAAGGAAGCTCCAAGTAATTCAAACATTTAGGCTACTAAAGGACTTAATGGTTTTGGAGTTGCTTAAGGATGATCTGCTACAACATCTCATCAAGGAGAAGACTGCATTAACTTGTACTCAGTTGTATTTATCTTTTTAGGATATTAATTTATCGAATTGTATGATGCACTCTATAGATGCTCAACAATATTGAATTCAGCCAATCAACCTTAGAAACCACAAACTCTAATGGCTTTGGTTCTTAGGCTTTCTTGAGCTTAAACAAGAGTTAAAAATCAAGAAAATACTTATTGAAAGCCAATGGAAGTGTCTCCAAACCTCTAGACAAAAATCTCTGAGGTTTCTAAGTGTTGGGTTGTTTATTAGGCAAGTTTGTCCTAACTGTAAAGAGTAGTCAACTACCCTAAAAAGACGTTTCAACCAGACTTATTCATGGGTTGGGTTGCCCAACGGCCAGCTTGGTCACTTGCTCTCAAATCCTCTATAAATAGAGGAGTTCAACCTTATTTAAAAAACAAAGAAGAAAGAGGAAGAGATCTGAATCAGGGCTTGTTAAAAACAACCTATGCATTCCTTGTACATGTTATTTATAGTTGTTTTTTAAAGAGAGAACACCGAGCTAGAGTTATTTTTGTAAAAGAGATCCTTGTGCTTCAATAGTGTTAGATGTGAGCAAAGTTGAGAAGATTTTGTGCTTGTACAGTCTCAGCCATCTATGGATTCTTCCTTAGTCTCCACTTTCCAACACTATGTGACCTCAGGCTTGGTTTCATCCTCAAGTATTCAAGATTAATTTTGATGGTTGTTCCTTGTGAAATCTGTAACCTTCTAGTATTGGAGTCATTTTAAGGATTTATCAAGGTGAAGTATTGTTCTTTATTAAGAAGGTCCTCAGTTGATGTGTGCTTTGTGTTTCTCCCAAGCTTGGGTGAAGGGAGATTCCTTGGTGATGATTTAAGGATGAGTTATTGGGGTGATCCATGAGCACACCCATATCTTATTAGGGAGCCTTAGTCTTTGACTTCTTAATGGAGCATCTTGTTTACTGAATCAGTAGATTGGTTAATGAGTTAGCTGGTTCTTTAGCCCAAGTTTAGCTTGGCCCTTCTGAAAAGGACATAAGTGTCTTGGGGAGCTGATAGATCATTGTGCAATTTTTAGAGTTGTTTTCCCCCTTTTGATTTGTGGTCTTTTGTGTCTCATTTTCCTTCTCAGTGATAAAATTTTTGCTTAATCTATGCTCCTAATAGAAAAGGATGAGTTGAGCATCAATTTCATGCTAGTTTGGTGATATCTCTAGGTCTTACAAACTTATATGGAATAGCCACAGATGCACATGCCTGAAATAAAATTGTTAAAAGGCAAAGATGGTTTGTGAATTCATTATTGTCTTTGTACATCAAGCAAACATAGGAAGAGATATTCTACATAGTAATTTCAAATGATGTTACATAAATTACATTTTATATGGGGCTGCCCATGCAGAAGCCTAACATTTATAAAGAGACCAGAGGCTTACAAAAGCTTTGCAAGGACTTGGTCAAATTGGGAGCAATCCAATACTGTATTAAAGGATAATGTGGGTCTGGAAGGCTGGAACAGAAGAGAGAGAAAGATGAGCAGAGAAAAACCTCTAGACTTGAGTCCCACAAGAAACTATGGTCTCATCAAAATAAAAAACTATGGTGTTCTTATGTGGGTTGCATGGGGATTCACCAGGAGGACCTGCAGGCCAAACCACCTTGCTAGGGCTTAAAAAAATTTGAGATGCATGTTAGACAGTGTATGCCCTTAGCTCCAATCAGATTGATGTACGTTATAAATTTATTGTAAATGAATAAAGTACATATTTGATTCGTGTTCATGTGGTGTGTTTCTGTGTAATACCCTTAAACTGGACACTTATGAGACTCGTGCTAGGGCTTGAAAAAAATTTGAGATGCATGTTAGACAGTGTATGCCCTTAGCTCCAATCAGATTGATGTACGTTATAAATTTATTATAAATGAATAAAGTACATATTTGATTCGTGTTCATGTAGTGTGTTTCTGTGTAATACCCTTAAACTGGACACTTATGAGACTCGTGCTAGTTTAGAATATTCACAACCGTTGGATAAGTCTGAGGAGATTTATCCTGCCAAGACTCACACTGGTATGTTGCCAAATGTTGGGGTGGCCTATCTCAGCCGCCAAGGTGAGACCCAAGGCACATGCAGTCTATGATTAATTGAATCTTTGAACCGGACCAGATTTCTAGTATTGCCCTGGACCTTGGAGATTGATGGGCAAAACTGGAAAGTTACACCTGACCCCTAGACACAATTATGATACTGCACTAGGTGTCGGATTG